GTCTAGCTTCGACATATGGAAGGAAAAAAACAACAACAAAAACACAGACATTGGAAGAGCTTTAGTGTGTCAGGACTTACATTATATCGCTGTGTCAAAGCGGTGTGGCTGGCATGATCGGAGTGCTCACCGTGGGACAGAGCAGGAGAGGGAGCAGCTGGAGCTGGAGTCTTGGAGTCAAGTTAGAAGGGTCATACTCTGCAGCAGTCTGTAGTTTCCCAGTGTCCCCTGGCCACAGTGTGACTTCTACAAGGACAAGATCCACAAGGTGGCACGCATGTGTACCGCCTGAAGCCCCTGCATGTTTCTTGCCTGCCTCACCGCAGGCCCAGCATAGAACCTTCTTCTGTGCAACACAGAGAACGCACCTCTTCAACATTTGTGGAGTGAATGCCCGTGGGCTAAGGCCTTAGGGGCCAATTTCTTCATCTGGTAGCCTCTGTTTTCTCATACACACTTCATACGACTCTTTGAGAAACAGAGGTGAGAATTGCAACCTCCTCATAGACCGCATCTGTGAGATGATAAACATTACTAAGCTGAATAATAAGGAAAAGTATCACAGTGACTCTGATAATACAGCTCTCCTCCTCTTGATGGGCTCCAGGCAGTGACAGGCATCCCAGAGCTGATGGATGGCACAATACTGGCCAAGGCAACAGAGAGCAGCCCCCACCGTGGGGAGAGGGCCGCGGCTCCCACGTCCCCTGCACGTAGCTGGGCCTATCTATAGGGAATGAACTTGAACAAGTCCCTTACTCTCAGTGTTTTCATATGTGGTGGAGTAGGGCTGCCCTGGCTGGCAGGAATATTGAAGGCTGGTTATTGAATGATTGAAATGCACTTTGCAACTATAAAGTGCTTTGCATATTTATGCTGGAGAATGACTATTAAATGGGACTGCGGGCATCCACGAGGAATCTGTGATGTAAAGCCTTCTGCCTCCTGACCGGTGGAGCCCTAAATAAATTGGAACTGTCTTGGACTAAGTGGCCCCGTGGTGCCTGGCGGCCACTCTGCTGCCCTTCCTGAAATCCTTGCGGCACAGTGCTGTCTCACAAAAGACTTGGGCCTAATTCCCTCCCGGAACTCCCAAGAGCACCTGGCTGGAGAGGCACAGGTGTCACAGAAGCAGCCCCGATGGGCCTGGGCTCTCCTGGGTGGGGGAACACTTCTCAACGCTACCTTAGCCCAGGCCACGCTGTGTATCCCCAGGATACACAGGGGAAGGAGCCTCCCTCCCACTTCCTTGTGACGATGAGAGTGGTCATATCCCCCACCCACACTGGGATGGCCCGGTGTGCACGTAATAAACACTCATGGAGCATGTCCCATGGCCACCTCCATGGGACAGGAGAGGCCTGCTCTCGGGCTGCCCCACTGGAGGCTGACAAGGAGACGCAGTCACCAGCAAGTGGGGTAAAAGTGCAAGTGCCCCAGATGCTGACCCTGTGACAGGTGACTGGCCCAGCTGATGAGTCAGGAGGTCACTCTGACGAAGAGAGCAGTGGAAGTCAACCAGGCGCACACAGGCCCTCCAGTGCAGAGGTAGCAAGATGCATGGGTGCATGGGGTGCTGCACCCAGTTTGAGATGCCTCTCCCCAGCCTCAGAGGCTGGCCTGGAGGAAGTGTGCCTGGAGGAGCAGAACCAGGGCCCCAGGACTTTGGTTGGGGCAGGAAGAGAAGCCAGCAGAGGAGGCTGGAAGGGTGGTCCTCACAAGGAGGCGAGAGTGGGCAGAGCAGGAATGTTGTGGACAGGAGAAAGCCTTGACTTGCTCCTGGAAGGAGTTCGGACACCAGCCGCATTGGGAGGCAAGCTGAGACCGGGCCTGGGGATCACCACTGTCCCAGCGGCAGTGGACGATGTTAGTGAGGCCTGGAAGAGTCTGGCACACAGCCTGCTGGGTGGAGACTCCAGCAGGCTTTTCAGAAGCAGAGAGACATGAGGAGTGGGGGCATAGGGCGAAGGAGAGTTGTATAGGCGTGAGTCACCCTCCTGCCGTGAGCTGAGGGCACCTAGAAGATGCAGAAGAGCTGCCAGAAGCGACAGGCCTGCAGGCGGGCAGGCCAATCTCGGGCTATAAACCACTCCTTGGTGAAGGACAAAGGTGCCCCAGGGTGGGTCCAGAGAGAGGGAAGGGGAAAGATCGCATCTTTGGGTGATGAGGGGGCATGTGTGGGAAGCTGAGGGTCAGTGTAGGCACCCTGAGACTCAGGGTACCATGGACATGGGAATGGGCTGTTCTGTAGTTTGTCTCTCGATCCGTTTTCTCTTACTTGGAGGCAGGCTCAGAGCAAATGGGCAGCCCAGGGAGTCTGACAGTCTTGGAGATCAGTCTGAAAGTGCAGGGGCCAGGGAGCAGAGAGGAGGGAAGGTCTGTTGGGGTGACTATGCTCCAGGAAGAGGCAAAGACAGGAAGCAGAGGCATGGACACACATGTTTGTGTGGGCATCTGCACATGCCGAGCATGTGTGTGTTGGGGGTGGTTGCTGATGGAGGCCATGAGGTCTTGTAACAAGAGCTTGCAGGAGGGCCTCGAGAACGGTGCGGTGCTTGCGCCCAGGTGTGATGTGATGACTGATGACAAGAAGACCGAGGCTGTGACAGGGCAGGGGTGAGGCATCGGAGCCATCCATTTGGGTACTAGAGGCATAGGACCCGTGGGCAGGAGGTCTGTGCTGCTGGACGGTACTCAGGACGACCGGAGGAGCCACTCAAAGAAAGGCAGTCTGCTGCTCGGGAACTGTGTGAAGTCAGGAGCCCAGGGAGACCAGGGGATGCCACCCCACCTTGGCCTCCAGCACGGGGTGGGGGGGAGGGGTATTGAGGGAGATGGCCTGGAGGAAGGAGGGCAGGTGTGAAACAGATTCGGGAAAACCTGCCGCCCCGACTTGGTTTTTATTAAGGACATGCTTGGTAGTGCTGATTTTGTTAAAAAGCAAAATCAGAGGCCACATGTGAATACCACAGACTGGCTGGGGGTGGGGAGGCTTAGGCAACGGCCAGAAGCCCAAGGCCAGCTCCGGCCAGGGTGGTCAGGGTGGGGGCTCCTGGGACTTGACGCGTGGACATAGAGCAGGGAGGTGCACACCTGAACTATCCGGAGTCTCCTACGAAGGCGGGGACCCTGCTGGACCGGGGCCGCCTTACGACGGTGCTGAACCGTCCGGGCCTTGGGACGGGCTCTCGCTCCCGACACGCCACCACGGCGGCCCGGCTTACAGCTGTGAATTTTGAACAATTCGGCCCGCATGGACGTGCCCAGAGTGGAGTCGCCGTGGATGGCAAACCAGAGGATTTGGGTGCCATCAGAAGTGGTCCACGACAGCAGGAGCCCTGGGGCCTCGGCGCCCAGGCCTCCCGCCGGGCCTGCCCAGCCCCGTCCACAGCCAGAGGCCGGCGGGCTGTCGGCTGCGCTCACCCCGCGTCCGCCTGCGCCTCTCGGGGGGACCCCGGCCTCTGGGGGGCCCCGGGGGAGCCGGGTGGCTAGAGCCTTCCGCAGCCTGGGCAGCCTGGTGCAGCGGCGCGGCGCGGGGCTCACGTCAGGTGCGGCGCGAACCACTGCTGGAGCCTCGGGCAGCACGAGGCCCGCAGGGCGCGGGGTGGCGCGGGGCGGCCTCGGGCAGCACGAGGCCCGCAGGGCGCGGGGTGGCGCGGGGCGGCCTCGGGCAGCACGAGGCCCGCAGGGCGCGGGGCGGCCTCGGGCAGCACGAGTTCCGCAGGGCGCGGGGCGGCGCAGCACGAGGCCCGCAGGGCGCGGGGCGGGGGGGGGGGCGCGGGGCGGCCTCGGGCAGCACGAGGCCCGCAGGGCGCGGGGCGGGGGGGGGGGCGCGGGGCGGCGCAGTACGAGGCCCGCAGGGCGCAGGGCGGGGGGGGGGGCGCGGGGCGGCCTCGGGCAGCACGAGGCCCGCAGGGCGCGGGGCGGGGGGGGGGCGCGGGGCGGGGGGGGGGGGCGCGGGGCGGGGGGGGGGGGCGCGGGGCGGGGGGGGGGCGCGGGGCGGGGGGGGGGCGCGGGGCGGGGGGGGGGCGCGGGGCGGGGGGGGGGCGCGGGGCGGGGCGGCCTCGGGCAGCACGAGGCCCGCAGGGCGCGGGGCGGGGGGGGGGCGCGGGGCGGCGCAGTACGAGGCCCGCAGGGCGCAGGGCGGGGGGGGGGCGCGGGGCGGCCTCGGGCAGCACGAGGCCCGCAGGGCGCGGGGCAGCACGAGGCCCGCACGGCGCCGGGCGGCGCGGGGCGGGGGGCGGCCTCGGGCCCGCACGGCGCGGGGCGGGCTTTCCTCTTGCACTCGGCCCCACAGCCCGCTCGGGTAAGTCAAGTCACGCATCGGGAACGTGCTAGGAAGCGGCAAAATCCCATCCCCGGGAAGGGGCCGGGGTACGCTCGAGGACCGTCCCCGGGCCGTGCGGCCCCGCTCCGCCCCCGACGCCCGGCCCGCTGGGAGGCTCGGGAGTCCCGGAGCCCGCGGGAGCAGCGAGCGCACGGCCCCTTTAAGAGGCGCCGTCCGAGCCAGGTCCTGACGTCACGGGAGGGCGGAGGGTGGCGTCGGCGCGCGGCGGCCGAGGGCGGAGGTCTGACTGACAGAAGCGCGGCCCTGGAGCGGCCCCTCCCGGCCTCAGGCCCCGCCCCTCCAGCAGGCCCCGCCCCGCCCCGCCCCGGCTCAGTGCGGCCCACAAGCTGTGCTCCGCCCGGCCCGCTGGTTCCACGCAGGCCCCGCTCCTTCCTCAGGTCCCGCCCCGCCGGGGCTCGGCCTCTGCCCGCAGGCCCCGCCCTCCAACAGGCGGGCTCGAGCCGGTGGAGCCAGCCGCGCAGTCGGCTCCGCGCAGGCCCCGCCCCGCCCCGCCCCTCCCCCAGTCCCCGCCCCTTCCAGCCTGGGCCCCGGCCCCGGCCCCAGCGCAGCCCGGGGCCACGCCCTTCCCCGGAGCCCCGCCCCGAGGCCCGCCCCCGAGGGCGGGGCCTGCCCGAGCCCGAGTCGGCGGCGGCTGCTGTGGGAACTTTCCCGGCGGGTCTAATGGCTGCGCGCGGGCCGCTGTGAGGCGCGGCGGCGAGCGGGCGCGGGGCCGCGGAGCAGCGACGAGCGAGCGAGCGCGAGGCCGGAGCCCCGGCCAGGCCCGGCCCGACCCGCCGAGCCCGCGATGCGTCCCGGGGCCGCCCCCCGGCGCAGCTGACGCCCCGCGGCCCCGCGAGACCCCGGCCCCGCCGGGCCCGCAGGAAGCGGCCGCCGCCGCCCGGCCCAGCGCCCGCGCCGCCCGGGCACCATGGCGGGGAAGGCGGCCGCCCCGGGCACCGCGGTCCTGCTGGTCACGGCCAACGTGGGCTCGCTCTTCGACGACGTAAGTGCCGCGCCGTCGGCCGGGAGGCTGCGCGCCGGGCCGAGCCCCGGGCGGCCGGGCCGGGACGCCGCGCCCGCCGCCCCTCCGCGTCCGGCCCGCCGCCCGCCGCCCGCCGGGACCCCGGCCCAGCCTGCCGGCCTCCGGGCCGGGCCCCGCCGCCCTCACCCTCCGCGGGGCCGGCCCGACCCTCCAGCTTGAACCCCGGGCTGTCCCCGCTGACCCCTCCCCAGCCCAAGCCCGGATGCTGGGCCCCCAGCTCCATCCCTCATTACGAGTCCTGAACCCTGGCCTCAAACCTCCCTGTCTGACCCCAAACCTGACCCTGGGACCCCCGACTCCCAACCCTGGCTCATCCCGACCACCTGTCCTCATCCCCCAACCCGAGATCTGACTCCAACTCCAGCCTTCAGATGTTGCTCCCTTGGCCTTCTAATCCAGTGTATCTTCTTGACTCTGAACCTTGACTTTCCACCTCAAACCTCTTTGCCCTGACCCCGGCCCTGGGCTCTTGGGCCGAGAACGCTGGCCCCAAACCGTTCCCTGCCCCGGACCTCTCTCCCTGTGTTGCTTATCCATCCTGAGCCGTAGCCACGCCTCGCCCCTGCCTCTGGGTGCCCGAGGTGTAGGACGCCATCATTTTGCCCAGAAATGGGATGCCGACTGCCTAAGGCCTCTTCCTCCCAGGGCTGCCCTCACTGGTCTCTGGTCCCACCTAGGAAACCCCCAGGGGCAAGTGTTGGGGGGGGTGCCCTCCTTGGGTGCAGAAGGGAGCTGAGGGGGCACTGGGAACTTCCCAGAGCAGGCTGAGGCTGACCTAGTTCAGCGTTGGAGCCATGGTGCCACCCCGCTGTTGGTACTTAAACTGCCAACCCAAATAAAGCAGAATGTGGCTCCAAGTGGCATGCTTGTTTAAGAAGAAAGAGTAATGTCACAGATGGAGCTGTGGGGCCACGTACTTCCTTTCCTCTCTTCTCTAGGTGAACAGTTGGGGCAATGCCAGGGCTGGAGGTGTGTGCTGCCCATACCAGATACCAGCCTGATACAGACTTCAGGGAGGAGGGTCATTAAGCTTGGGAGAGGCTTCATTAAGCTGAGTTCACACATTAGGTGTGAGTAAAAGGCAGACACTGTCATGGTGTGCTGTTTATGTAGCTTCCAGGCCCTGCCTGCTGTTGCGCAGACTTTGTCACGAACACACCTTGGTGTAGTTTCACATGGGTCATGCTTTACAACAGCCTGTATATTTAGCCTTCTATTCTAGGCCTTCCAGTAACATGCCACTGTAACATGGTTGTGTTCAGATGATTCAGATCCGTTAGCTGTGGCTTCAAAGCCTCAGAAATGTCAGGAAAATTAGGCATGGTGGAGCATTTTAGGCTCAAAGGGAAAAGAATTTTGCTGTGCAAACATTCTTTCCAGAAATCTTTGATTCTGAGTTGTAGGCTTTGTTGTATTTTAACTGTATACATATATTTCTCTCCAATGGTGTTAAAATGGATAATTTACTTTTCTTAGTTTTTATTTTTCTTACTATCAGGATGGAATTCTGCACTATGTTTGCATCTTCACGTTGCTTTTGTTTTGGTAAACAACATATGAACCCCACAGGGTGACGAGATTCAGGCTGAGTGGAGAAGCACTGGCCCACTCCACAGCGTGGAGCTTGGCCGAGGGCTAGGCAGTGCCCTTCACACTGGCATTCTTGAGCCTCTTTCTTCTGCTGGTGTTTGGGTTATGGAGCTTGTGGGGTAGAAGCCTGAGTGGGCAAAGCAGTGAATTCTTCAGTGACGGAGACTTTAATTCCTTGGTTTCTTGTGGATGTCAGAAAGCCCGGTTGTGCCTCTATTTGCCTTGGTGTGGCAGGAACCCATGCTGCATGCGTACCTTCCGACCTGTTCCACTGAGAAGGGACTTTCTACTGTGGATGTGTAAGTTCTGCTCTGCTCAGGGCCTCCAGCTGCTTCTTAGGGAGTCCGGTTCCACAGGAGGAAGGTGTCCACTTTGAAATGGACAAGACAGTTGGGAAGGACATTTTTCCTTTTATGCAGAAGTAATAGGTGTTTTTTTTTTATTGTGAAAATACTGTACAGAGGGGTTACAATTACATGGGCAAGATAATGAGTACATTTCTTATCAAGCATTGTAGCCTCCTCTTCTGTTTCCCCTTCCCATCCCATCCTTCACCTGCTCCCCCCCCCCCCCCCCCAAGGTGGTTTGTTTTTGTGTTTGCAGTTTTGAAAGTCTCAATTCATAAACTTCCTCCTTCTCCCCACGTAGTGGTGACCCCTCTTAAATGCTACGTTACGGGTTTTGTGGGGGTGCTCAGGATTGAACCCAGGGCCTTGCCCTTGCCTACACTTGGCCACTGAGTTTTACCTAGCCTGTGTCTGTCAATTTGAATTATGCCGGGAACACTGGAACATCTTGTTCCCTTGCTCTTCTCTCATCAGCACTCCTGACATCCTTGTGTCCAGAAAGGATGGCTGGGCTGCGGTTACCCAGCCTTCCTGCTGAGGGCCTTCATGTTGTCTGGAGCCCTTGGACTTGGCAGTGTTGCTGCAGGTGCATCCCAGGGCATCTGTCCATAGACTTTATCTCAGGATCTTATTCTGGAAGATCCTTAAGAGATATGTATGTATGTAATTATTTATTTGCTGGCCCTGGGCCTTGAACTCAGGGCCTTGAGCTCACTCAAGGCTAGCACTCTACCACTTGGGCCACAGCTCCTTATGGGAGATAAGAGTCCCTTGGACTTTCCTGCTTGGGCTAGTTTAGAGTCATGATCCTCAGATCTGAGCCTCCCACATAGCTAGGATTACAGGTATGAGCCACAGGTACCCAGTGTGGTTTTTAATAGTACTGGAACTTGAACTCAGAACCTTGCTTGGCTTACTTTTCAGTTGGTGCTCTACCATTGGAGCTACATGTTCAGCAGGAACCATGTATTTATTTATTTATTTCTGACCGACTGTTTTGGAGATGGAGTCTCTTAGATTTTTTTGTTTCTTCTGCCTGAACGGATTTTGAATGGCAGTCTTTGTATCCCAGCCTCCCGAGTCTCTAGGATTATAGAAATGCACCCTCAGTGCCTGGTAAGAGTTGTTGATGTAGGTTGTGACTACTAGTATTCACCAGAGTTAGAAGTTGGAACTGTAGCTGTCAAGCACAGAGCCCACAGCCTGTGCTACTGCCTCACTCTGCTCCCTGAGTGAGGCCACACTGAGGCCCTCTGTCCTAGTTGGTGATCCTTCCAAACCTTCAGGGATGTTCCCCAGGCCAGACCCCTAGACACCCCATGTGACCAGGGGCACTTGTGACTTTCCAGTGAATGGTCATGATTGCCAGACTACTTACAGCTCCTTCACTTGGACTCGTGCTGTCACTGCCACTGGCCTAAGGCGGCCACTGGCCTAGGGTGGCCAGGGGCCTGTCCCTGTCTGCTGGCTGTGGCTGGTGTTTTGACCACTGGTTTCTAATTCTTGGTTCCTTGAACTTTTACTAGAAGTGACTTGAGCAGATAAATGTGTGCAGGCCAGCTTTAGAGCCTGACCTCACCCTTGCATGTCAGGCTGTTTGGCCCTTAGTCCTGCTGTATATTCAGAGCAAGGTACCATTTGCTTAGTCACCTCTCCAGCAACCCTTTGCAGGCAGACCTGGGATTTCAGAATCGAAGTATGGGTTCCTCATAGCAGGAACTGAGGCTTATGGTCAGCAGATGTCCATGAGCTGTGGGATAGAGGGAGGCAAGTCAGAGCTGCTGGGGTCGGGGTGGACTCTGGGCAGGTGCCTTGGCCCTCTTCCGTCTCCTTCCTGCAGTGCTGGTTTTGCCCTGTTTACAAGATTCTCCCTATCAGTGTGGAAGGCGCTGTGGTTTGTGAGACCATGAAACCCTTGGCCTTTGGTTCTCCAGCTTCTGCAGGCCTGATCTCTCAAACAGTGTCTGCTTTCCCCTTACCAGGCGTTGTCCCACACTCCTTCGCTCCTGCCAGGGTCATGTAAGTTCTACAACACTCATGGTACAAGGTGGCTCTGTGTATAAGTGTGCCACCCCTCCCCACTTGGAACTCCAGCCAGCCCCACTGCCAGTGGCTTTCCATCTCCATGGGCTTGCTTGTAAATGTGGACCCACTCATGTATGCCTTGTGTCTGTCAGAGCTCGTCTGTCCGTCCATGTGTCTGTGTGTGTCAGTGCCACACTCCTCAGTCATGAGATGGGCCACACTTTGTCCAGACATGGCTTGATGGGCATTTGGGCTGGCTTTGCGTTTTGGCTGTTGTGAATATCGGCATTCAAGGTCTTTTGGATGTGTGTTTTCAGCTGTGTGCCTCATGCTGGAGCTTCGAGGTCTCCTAGTAAGTAACCTCTGGAGGAGCCACCGGCCTGCCTCCGTATGGCCAAGCCTCTTACATTCCCACCAGCTGTGCCCATTTTCTGCCCATCTTCCCCAGCAGAGCAGTCCTTGCTTCAGCTCTGAAGGAGACTTGGGGTGTGAGCATTATGGTCAGTTGCCTGAGCCTGTCTCCTGGGATGGTGGGATCAAGTGAGGCAGTGTTTCAAGCCCACTGCAGTGCTGGTCAGCTGTCTGCTTCAGGAAACCATTTCTGGTTTGTGTACATACATTATTTCATGGTGGTCTTTGTTGTCGTTTAGAATTTTGTAGTACCCTCGAAAGACATTTGTTTCCATGCTGTGCCTGCCCCTTCCCTCTGACGTCAGGTCATGCTCTGTGCTGTTGTGGGTAGGCTTTGGGGCTCAGTGTACCTTGTTGTGGTGGAAAGGTCCCCCACTTAAGCCGCTGGAGTCTGAGGGTGGTTTGAAATATGAAATGTTTCCTCAGTGTTTGTTGAAGCCAGTGCCAAGGGCAGAGCTGTTGGCCTCTCAGTGAGAATGCTCACTCTCCGCGTGTCTGTGTCTGCGCCATCCATTCAGAGTCCAGCTGTCTCCTGCAGGGTTTCATGAGAAGCCCATTCTGTGGGCAGGTTTTGGGCCTGTGCTGCCT